CCCCAAAACCCCAAAACCCCAAAACCCCAAAACCCCAAAACCCCAAAACCCCAATAGGAACAAATGTTGTTGAACGTATTGGAGTATTTTAAGTAGAAAGTCTTCTACTTTAAAGGTGGGAGATTGGCTTCCCAAGGTGGTAACTTCAGAATTTCAAGCAAAGAATTTATCTTTTCCTCGTAAAATTCACGATTGATAGAGTAATTTTGGAGGAAGAAAGAGATAAAGCCTTGCTTCAGATCCTCAATACATTGATCAGATCTGTCGCGCTTGTAATCTGAGAGTTTCTTCATTAAGCATAAGTGGAAGGTCAGGTTACAACTCAAATGCTCTGACCCAGAACTCACAACATCTAAAAGCAACATTAGGAGAGAATTAGGAAAGATTTACTGTTGATAATTTTGTTTGATAGCTCAGTGGAAAGCATCTTAGAGATCAATTTGATCACTAACTCATGTTTCTCTTCTTCTGTCATCTCTAAATCAGAAGTCAGCAAATGCTCACCAAAGAAGCTTAAATTACCTCCTTCAAATTCTTCAGCTGTTATACCAAGATCATCAAGATATTTATGGAGGTATTGAGATTTCGCTTCTATAGCTCTGTCAAGAGTTTGACAAAGCTCAATAGAGAATTTTCCAACCAGGTCATTAATCCTCGTTAAATCAAGTTGATCCTCTTTGATGATCTTGATATTAGCTTTCTATAATAAGAGCTTATTTTCATGCTGTAAATGAGATAAGAATTAATAGTACATGAAATAAGATGGCCTGGGTTAGAATAGAGTATGATCTTAGCATAGCATATCATAAGCTCATATTTAAGAATAAATTAGCGGCATTTAGAGCAAAAAGGAGAAGTAGCGAAGGATCTGATCAGAAACTTACATTAAAACTTAAGCTATGTATAAGCAAGAGAATAGTCTGTTATAGCACATTCAGCATCACCCGGAATGAATCCTAAACTTCTTTACGGACAAGAATTTTCATGGGTTACTGTTAAAGTAAAACTTCTTCGTGTAAATTTAATTAATAAAAATAAATTATTTTCGGAGGAAATAGACAACTGTCAGAATTTATTTTTAAAATGTTCAACATTTAGTACTAAGATTCTTATATTAATGTATTTTGATATTTGTCCGTATCTTTTATATAAAATTCTCTTTTAAAAATATAACACGAGAGTCTATCTTTTAAAAAAATTCTGAAACTAAGCATATGGCTCAATACTAAGCTCTTGTCTCAAACTATTCTCTCTTCATGGCCAAACAAGAGCTATAATCTACCAAAAATTGTTCTAAAAGGGCTCAAAATGGGCCTGAAAACCTTAAAATTACTTACAAATTGCTCTTGAATCAGATCACTTCTTAATTTATTGATTTCTTTTCTAACCATACTCTTGACCAAAGTATTTTTGGATTTCGGCTTTTGTGCTCCCCCTGTTTGGCCTCTGACTGGAACTCCCTTCTCTTCTTCCATGCTAGCAGGGGAGACAGCCATATTGACCTTTAAGCCTGGAGGTATCTCTTCAGAAGAAGACTATGACTTTTAGTGAGAGGAGTGAAGAGAATATTTTTTTGAAAAAATTTAACATTTAAGCTTAGAAAGGCATTCATCAACATTTTAAAGGAAAGAAAACAGTTACAGAAAAAGCCGCTGTAGAAAATGAGATAGGAAATTTTAGAGGAGCAGAAACTCTTGCTCTTGAAAGGAAATATTAAGATACAGCTCTTCCATAGCTTAAAAAGCCTTTTAGGCATCCCTTCTAGTCTCTTACCATAGTGTGGTCATTCGTATCCTGTGTTTGACTGCCTCTAAATGAACCATTAGAATAGAAGTTTAGGATTCTTGGTTATAAAATATGTAAAGTATTCGAAGTAAAGAGTTTAAATTGTTTACTCTGAAGTGTTAAAAGAGCAAACAGAAGGTAGAGAAATTCAGAGAGGGCCTTGAGGGTAGAATAATAGCAGTAATTGTAATTAACAGGGGTTTTAGGAATTTATAGAGTCTGGATGAGGTTTGCTACCTGAGTTGGGACTAGGATTATAATTCATCGGTGAATTTGATAGTATATGAAGATATAGCTAACTTGTAATACCTTCCCACTCAGCCCCATACATCCATAATCCTGAAACTGACTCTAAACCCACTGAAAATACCAAAAATCTAATTTTTGCTCTTTCCCAGAAATACGAAGTTAAGCTACAGATGTTTTTGTGCGCAGCCTTAAGCACGCATTTTAGGAAAATCCCTCTGGATTTCGATGTTAATAGGTTGGCTTACGCATGGGGGATGCTCTGGTCACTCCAGGTGGGTTCATTAGGAGATATATCCTCCATTTCTGTGTCGCTTGCATTTGCTTCAAGGCTTTGGCTTCTGGTATCAGCTGTGGATTTTCTTGCAATGAAATCTATTAAGAGGAAGGTTTGACTTGGGTTTTAGGATTGAAGTTTAGGGCTTGGAAGGAAGAGGAAAGTACCTGTAGCTTCAGAGGGTTTATCGAGATCAAATTTATCGTGAATCTCTTGAGGGCTAACTGAGGACTTTTTGTTGTCGTATAGGAGCTTATTGAAGATAAAGGGTTCGTGAGGGTCTTGATGGGCATCGGTCTATGAGGATGATGTTTTAAAGATACAGGAGAGTGGAATGCTATAAAGATCTTTTCTAAATAATCAATATTGCACACAAATTCTCAAAATAAAATCCTCTTAAGAATCTTTAGAGTTGACAATATGCCCATTTCCCTCCAATAGCCCTTGTTTTAGCATGTACCTCATTAGAACTCACAGAATTATACTCCATATCTTCATCTGACACATAGGCTGGATCTAAATTCATTTTATTTCTAAAATTTCTAAATTATTTTGATTCAGGAAAGAATTCAAAGGATAACTTTAAGAATAAACCTGAAAATTAAGGAATTTAGAAAATTTAGTTTTGTAAGACTTGAATTTAAATATTGAAAATTTAAGGTTAGAAATTTCCAAATCTTATATATTTTATTACTAATGAATTATAGATAAAATTTATGAAGCATCTATAACCCCTTTGCTCATGTAATATCTTAAAATAATACCAAAACCGTTCAAGGTTCTAATTTCATACTGTTAATTTCACCCAAAGCAATTCCCCAAAAATTTGAATTTTATACCCATTTAACAACTCTCCAAACTCTCTGTCTTCCAAAGTATCAATTTCATTTAAATTCTGTACCTAAACATTAATTTTCCTCATAAATTTGAGCCTAAATGTCCTTAAGTCTATTCGCTTCCAAGATTGAAATGTTCTTATTTAATTGACTGGAAATATACTGGGATCACGAGACTGAAGGAATTTCAGCTACTGCATTGTCGGATATGATAGAAGGAATGTTATTGAAAATTAGAGATTAAATAGCAAAGTATGGGACAAAATAGGCATTCTCAGGTACTTTTGATGCTTGTGAGTATATGTACTCTAAGTTAATAGAGTTTATTTGGACGGATCCTTCTACTTCGATGATAATTTCTTTGCTCTTCAGAGCTTGGATTATGGTATTGGGCATTGGCTTATAGTAAAAAATAATCCTAGCACTTTTATCTGCTTTATTCATCTTAGAGTAAGTCTGGAGCCAATTAGTAACCTTCTCCTTCAACTTGGTCATTGAGAGTGATGTTGTTTTATTAACCTCCTGCTCTTTCAGCATAGTTTTTAGCACAGATGTCATGATTTTGGATAAGGATTCAGCATTCTTTTTCTCAAAATTGCCCAACTTTTTGAGCTTAGATCTCTTAGAAATGCTGACTATCTTGGAAGCGTCTATTACCAAATCTACTTCGTTAATATGTATGAGCTCCATATAGGAGATGGGGGAGTTATTGAAAATATCTATAATAGATTATGATAAAGCCTTACCAATGAGTAGAGTTGGAAGCTCTCCTCTTAGCCATTCCTTCTGTCAAAGAGTGAAGAAGGTGTAGACAAAGAAATCTTCCTTTTCTTGAGTATCCATTTTCTTGTACTTCTGCAGATGTTGCTTCTATATACCCGGATTATGATGGAACAAGGAAGTGTGAAATCTTATAATTTCTGATTAGAGAGCTCAAGCATTTGACAATAAAGAAAAATTTAACAACAAAATTGAAGGTGGGGCTCTATAATTAATATTCTGGGCTGTTGGAGACCTAAATAAAATGCTGATTTTTTAATCTTAGTTAGTAAATCTAATAAATCCTAGCCTTGAACAAGGCTGTAAAGTTAGCTAATGATAGAATATTATATCTGCTTCTAATTTGTTTCCAACAGAAAGAGCCTAATGCTAATTTGGATGTGATAATGTATTTTGAAGAATAAATCTGCTTTATATTTGATGATAGTCTTAGAAAATTTCAAGAATTATTCGTATGTATTATTTAGTTCCTCTTTAATTCATGAAGAAAGAGAGACAATAATTCTCTAAATCTTGATGGCTATGACAAATTGTGGCGGCTTAGGCTGAATTACGGTTCCGAAATTTTATTTCTAGGTTTACTATTCCATCATACTTCGCTCCGTTAATAACCCCATTGGAGTCAGAGTATTTTAGTAAATCAAAGAATTGCTGGAAATGGTTAGATTTCGATTTACCTTAAAATAGTGGAAACCTTGCAGAATTCATTAGAAATTGGTTGATGAAAAATATTGTGCAAAATTGTTCCTAAGAAGATGCACTTACCACAGTGTTGTCTAGGTCAGCCATGAGCTTCGCGAACTCTTTGCTTTTCTCTTGTTTCTTATTGACAAGTTTAAGAAGGAGATCATTAAATATTTCCTTATATTTCTTGTCGAAATTCTTGAGAGTGCTAGAGCTTGATTCAGATATAAAAGTGCTTGTTTTTGTTTCTTCTTCCATGTTGTGACCTTTTCCTGACAATGAGAGCCCAACTGTGGATCACTTTGTTGAAATTGAAGAAGCAGAGGTTGAAGCGAAGCTATTCGTCATATTAATTTCTGGGGACAGAGTACTTGCTGCTTCAAATTTATCGAAATTTGGCAAGCATACTTTTCAAAGAGTCAGATCTGATGCATGAAAGTTATCTTGGTAAGTATCAATATTGAAGTTATTTTAGAAGCGCTGCATTCTTAACGCTAATACAAGGCAAGGAATCTCGTGTAATTTCTAATTCTTGATAGATTTCCCTCGGAATGAAATGCTTCTCGCCAGAATAGATAATAACACTGAACTTTCGATCCAAAAGCAGCCCTAAAGATAGGAAAAACAGAGGCTTGGACGAAATCAGTTTATAAGACGATTTTTCGTCTTTAAAAATATAATCGAGCAGCTCTCTTATCATATCTCTCTGATACGAAGTAGTATTTACATAGATATACAGCACAATTCCATTACTCACAACCACATCCACAAACCTCTCTCAAAATTCCCTGTCAATTCACTCCTTAACTTCCCTTCCAAGTGGCTTCCTACACATTAATAGTTTAAACTCCCTCTTCTCACTTACTTTAGAAATAAGCCCTGTACATGTACATCTTCAAAATCTAGAACTAGTAGTTTGTTTCTTTGCTTAATAAACTCCATTTTTGGAATTTAGACTTTTGTTAAAAATTTTAAGTTGAATATTTTTGGGGTTTTGGGGTTTTGGGGTTTTGGGGTTTTGGGGTTTTGGGG